CCTTATACTGTTGAGGAAAGGTTCATCTAAGAAATCCTATGGTGGAGAATGTTCCCACATGGGAGAACCCTCCAACTGATCATCTCGACCTTGAGATTAATGAACATGAAGAAAAAAAAGAATTTTCAGTTCAAAACATAGTACATCTTATAAAAAATTATCTAAACTGTATGTTTTCAAGATTTTCAAGTGTTTATTGATATGTACTATTTTTTAAATTTTAAATTTTCTAACTGAAGATAAAAAGAGATTTTGAAACCATCATAAGATTTTCGATGCTAAAACAATATCTCTAAGTAAATTTTATACGTGCACCTAGCTTCAACAGTATAAGGAGGCAACCTTTTATATATATATATATATATATACACGATGGATTTTCTACGAGGGAAAAAGTTTATATAAGGTTGCAACCTTATACTGTTGAAGTAAGGTGTACCTCAAAAATTCTACAGTGGAGAGTGTTTAGTCATACAAGAACCCTCTAATTGATCATCTCAACCTTGTGATGAATGAACGTGAAGAAAAAAAAGAATTCTAAGTCTAAAAAATAGTGCATCTTGTAACAAGCTATTTGGACCGTCTATTTTTTAAGTTTTCAAGTGTTTCTTGATCTACTTGATCTATATCATTTTTGAAATTTTAAATTTTATAACTAAAGGTAAAAAGGGATTTTGAAGCAATCATAAGGTTTTCTACGCCGAACTGATATCTGTAAGTAAATTTTATAAGTGCTCCTTACTTCTATAGTACAAAGAGGCAACCTTATACAAACCTCACCCATCTATGAGTCAGCCAACTCTTGTGTACATATTCGTCCCCTTTCTAAAATTTATCTTAAAGATAGATTTTTTATCCAAATTTTTAGGGATAGATGATGCCAAGGCAATGATGAGTATAAAAATAAAATAAAATAGAATTTTTAAATATACTTTTTTTAGGGGGTATATTTTGCAGTGTCCGTAAGTTATTTTCATCCGTTTCACTTACATGACGTCCATTTTAAAGATGGACGTTCTCTTCATCCAAAATTTTTCCTATACACATTTTGTTATATAATAGGAAAATTGTTTCATGTAGGCTGGGCCGCATTTCTATAATATACGGTCCCTAGGTATAAAGCATCCATCTTAAAAATGAATGCAAATAAGTGGTCCATCTAAAAAAGATTGAAACGAACGGCACAAATGTTTCTTAATAGAATTATTATTTCTAATTTTTAAAATTTATTTATTTATTCATATTCCTTGAAAATAATTAAGTCCAAATATCCATCTCAAAAATAAATTTTTAATAGGCTATCATTTCTACATATAGAAATCGTGTCCTATATAGTATACGTATTTAAATAGTCTTTTGACATGAACCTCCAAACATGTGTGTAGGCAATTAGGCTCCTTAAGATATACGTGATAGTTCTCGCTCTCTCTCGCACACGCACACAAGATCCACCAAACATGTGTCTAGGCAATTAGGCTCTTTAAGTTATATATGATAATTCTCTCTCACACACGTACAAACACACACAAGCATATATATATATATATAGAAATAGCTCGCATAGCCCCACTAGACTACATCTATATATGAGCCCAACGATCTAGATTCAATCTGGACCGATTTAAAGTCCATGAGTGCATTTCGTATTTGAATTTTAATTTTTTCTAACCAAATCAATTGCAATTTGAGCATGTGTTATTTAAAAATACGATAATCCAATAAAAATATTAAAAAAATAATTTACAAAAATATATTGATCAAAATATCTCCAAAACTTTTTAGAGGTATTTTGGTTAATTTATATTTTGTAAAAAAGCTGGCGTATGCCCACTAGCCTATAGCTACATATGAACCCAACAACTTAGACTGAATTTGGGCCAATCTAATAATCACGATTGTATTTTATATTTAAATTTTTTTTTTATAAATCCAAATCACTTGAAATTTTAAACGTGTGTTCTTTGAAAATAATATAATCTAATAAAAATAGCAAAAAAATAATTTACAAAAATAAATTGATCAAAATACCTCCAAAACTTTACAGGGGTATTTTGTCTAATTTTTTTAATCTTTTTATTAAATGCGCATTGATGAGAAGAATAAACTTCGAAAATTTCATGTGATTTGGATATGTATAAAACAACTAAAATTAAAATACGAAATAAGGTTGTGACCGCTAGATCGGCCGAGATTGAATCCAAGTCGTTGGCCTCATATGTAGCTGTGAGCTAGTGGGCATATACCAGAGTTGTCGATCCAACTGATCTAGGTGGCCGATCAACATCTTTGGTTGGGTTATCTACCCCAATAATTTATATTTTAGAACGGGATTGCCTACAAAGAGACTATTTATTTTTGGTACATAGGGGTCACAATCATTCATACTCATTAGATGTCAAATTGAATGGCCTCGGATGAGTCGTAAAGTCGAAATTTTTTTTTTTCGATCTATGTATCTATTTAATGACACTCTTACTACCACCTATTTTAAAATTTAAGAGATAAAAATGACATAGACCTCCATATACAAAAGCTAAACGGCCCTAAATCTTTGAGGTGACACGTGTTTGGGATGTGGGACCAAATGCACAACTCGATCCGGTAGGACAACCAAATCCTTTTGAGTTGTACGCGTTTGGGCGGTGGGACCAAATGCACAACTTGATCCGGCAGGACAGCCAAATCCTTTTTCCTTACACCTCAAAGCGAATACTGTATTTGAAAACTGGTGCTGGTTGGTTTCAATACCACTGGCTCTTTTGTAACTTTTCCTAAACTTGGGGCACAGATTTTTAGAATCACTATCCTACGAAAGGAACCAATCATACACATGTTAACACAGCTTGAGCCCATAGAATTTGCTTTGGTCCATGCTCTCTTTTTGTTAAGAGCGCAACACTTGGCAATCAGAATAATGTGACTTGGATCCAACCTTGGCAAAACGTCCACATGGGTAGATAAGTATGGGAAATGAGTGGTGGAGCTCTAACCAAATATGCTGAGTACTTATCCAGTGAATGGCTAAGTTTTATAGCCTATCAATAATTAGTACTATTTTGGGTGCATACAGGATTTTAGCCTATCTCAATTAAGTGCTCTTGGCCCTCTGCTCAATTAAAAGATCTTGCTAAACTTGAGGTTATGTGTTTTACTTGCTAAAACGGGTGGACCCATTTGACCTAATTAAGTCATATAACTTGGAAGATTGGGGTTCTATCTATTACATTTGAGAGTGGACCCATTTAACCTACTTATGTACTCAAGGCTTGGGAGAAATATTGGGGTTTTAATCAACCCAAAAATGACAGTCGACCCACATGGCCTAATTTAAGTTCTCTACAGTTTGTAGTTTTAGGGTTTGATTAACCTAAAATTTGATCATATTACTTACTATAAGAGAGCTTTGGAGCTAAGACACTAATATTGCTGCCCTAATGCCCTAATCATTCAGGCAAGGGCCCAAACCCTAACCCATATGGTCTAGACCTAGCGTTGTACAACTTAAAAGTTTAAGGTTTCAAATGACTCATGTAAACATAAAGAGACCTTCCAAACTTGCAAAATTAAGTTTTGAATTACCCCCAAATTGGTTGGGTCTTCTATTTGAAATAGATACATCAAATCATAAAAAATTTAATGTTTGGAATCAAACTAGAATTGATCTTTGAAATTCAAATATTTGGGGTTCAAACAAATAAAAAAAAAGTGGAAAAAATGGAACATGGGTCCCAATGTCCTACTCTTGGTTAACCATAAAGTGTTAAAAGAAAGTGGTTAGCTCAACCCAATAAAGGCACTTGGGACACTTCTCCTGAATTGGGGGGGAAGCTAACAAAAATAAAAATGAGGATCTTGAGTTTGGAAGTATTGTTTAAAGACACAATTCCTAATATTCAAGTGCCCTCCACCGCAGGGCAAGAATTATACCTTGGGAGAGAGAGAGCACGGGGTGGTTAAGGGTAAGAAGAGGGAGAGAAAGAGTAAGAGATAGGGGGCGGGTAAGGGTAAGAAGAGGGAGAGAAAGAGTATAAGGTTGAGAGAGATAGAGAGAGAGAAGGGGGCTTTAAGGGTAAAAAGGAGAGAGAGAAGGGGGTGGTTAAGGGTAAGAAGAGGTAGAGAAAGAGTAAGAGATAGGGGGGGTGAGGGTAAGAAGAGGGAGAGAAAGAGTATAAGGGTGAGATAGATAGAGAGAGAAAAGGGGGGCTTAAGGGTAAGAAAAAGGAGAGAGAGAGAGGATAAAGGCACTAATCTAGTTTGTTTATATTTAAGTAGGGCCCTTAGTTGGCCAGGTCCTTGCCCATGGGGCCTTGGGCCTGAAGCATTGAATTTCTCCCAAAGGGAAAGTCGGTTTTTTTTAAAAAAAAGGGTGGTGGTGAGTAGGATATGGATGAATTCAAGGCACAAGCCTTATCCCATGCCCTCTTTTTCCTAGTACAAAGGGAGACGATGCAAACAAAAGAGGATAATGCCGAATCTCAAATGTAATTGAATAATATTGAACTTATCCTCATTCCTCCTTTCAGTCTCATTGTACGCCATCAACCACTCCATCCGCATTACATTCTCCCATATAACTCCTCCGTTTTCCCCATTAAATATTATCCATGCACCCCCCCAACTTTAGGTATAAACAATATTTATCTTCTTCCCCCCATAAAAGCCTTTGTCGATCCAAGTGACTTTTGGGTATGCATTTGACAGGCTATGGAGTGAAGTCCTTTGATTCTAAGAAAACCTCTCTCCCATTTTCCTCACACGCATGGTGGATTGCAGGCAAAGGTGCAAGTGCAGATCAAGTCCTAGAAGAAAACTCTTCAGACATGGATGCCCCTTCCCTTGTCAAACCACCATACAACCATGGGATCATGGATGACCATGAAGAAGATGATGATTTTCTCTCTGATTCTTTCTCTTCGGATGCCTCGGAGGGTTCCGCTCTCTCCTTGTCGTCGTCGTCGTCGTCCTCGGATCTCACGGAGGATGCAACCTCTTCATCGTCTTCGCTGCAGGAGTCTTCCTCGTCTTCGGATCCTCTCACCGATGAGCCTCTGTACGATATGTCGGATCTCATGGCGCAGCTGCCCTTCAAGTGAGTAGCTCCAAAAGACATGCCTCCTTGATGTTTTGTGCAATCCTGATTTTAATTAAATTGCATGATTTCGATTTAGTTCTTTCTTATTTGGAAAGAAACTAGCATGGATCCAAATGTCGCAGACTAATTGTATCGAATCTACTCTTGCAGGAGCGGGCTCTCAAAACACTTTGTAGGAAAATCACAGTCATTTATATCTCTCTCAAATGTGAGATGCCTTGAAGATCTTGCCAAGCCTGAGAACCCTTACAGGAAGAAGTTGAAATCCTGCAAAAGTTATGGTGGTGGATTAGACTGCCATAAATCATACTCTTCAAAGATATGCACCAAGACCATCACAAAGAAGACTTCAAGAGGCTCATGTGGTTCTCTCACGACTAGAAGGAACAGCTTCTTGGCCACAAGGCCATCCATTCCTCCTCAAAATCACCTGTAAAACCCCACCCCACAACCCCCTACAGCAATAAGAAGACACCTTCAAGGGTCATGGGTGTAAGTGAAAAGTGGTAGTGGGGATTGATCTTCTTGTATTAATCCCTTTTGCATATTGGAACATGTATAGAATCACAAGATAAGTTATAGATTTTGCCTCCATTTATCTATCTCCTCTCTTAGGTTTCTTCATATTTAAGGGAAGGATCAGGATCATAAAGCATTACTTAGGTATTTCTGTAAATATACACATGATAGTACACTCTTTATTAGAATATTGGCTTAAAGTTCCATAATCCCTATCTTACCTTTATTTGATGTGCTTCTCTGCCTTCAATAAAAAAGAATATGCTTCTATGTCAAGCCATTGTTCATGTTAGAAAAGGAGATCAGTAGTTACAAACAAGAGATTATTAGAAATAATGTTATCATTTGGAAGTTCTACATGATAACATCACCAAAGAAGTCCAAGAGATGGTTTTAATGAAGGAAGAGTGTACAAAGAGATTTTTTTTTTTTGGGTGTAGATGGAAGTACAATTATTAGATGTCAAATTGGATGAATTGGGGTGAACCAAGTAGTCCCGAGAATATATATATATTTTTTTTGCTTGTAACTTCGTGTCTATTAATGTACAAAAGAAAAATGGTCTCTATATAGGTAATCTCTTTACTGCAAAATTAATATAGAAGAAGTAATGTTATGGTTTAGAACATGATCAAGTAGGCTTTACATAATCTTATGTCATATACGCAACAGCTATTTTCATCATTCTTCTATCCAGTTCATAGGGAGGTATATGTATAGTATATGGTACACCATCGGGACATCCATCCTTGGAGACAACGATGGCTTGTGGGGTTTAGACATAGTTCCTTATGATGAAGATTTTCTCATTGGGAATGGACGGCCATTTGCGCACAAGTTACCTTACACCAGAAGTGTATAATGTGCTTACATTCTCATGAAGATATGATTTGATACAATTACTGCTGTAGGTAATGAGGAGCAAGTAAGTTCTATGATATTATTATTTTGGTTTTCAATTGCTATCAGATTGTATTTGTACAAATGTTGTTAATCAATACGAAAAGATGTAGCTTGTGCGTTGAGTCTATCCTTTCTTTTTCTTATTGATAAAACTGAAGAAAAAGTATAAAATATGGGATTGTATACAATAAGAGCATTTATTTTTTATACAAAGTAGGCACAATTATTTACAACCATATGATGTGAATATGAGAGCTTGGGTGTATCACAAAAGTTTGAAATATTTTTGTTTTGAAGTTTGAGCTTGATAAAAAATAAATGGTCTCTTTATACTTTTCGATAAAACATTACTATATACCATTGGGGTAAAGAGGTTACAATCAATCATATCCATTGGATTAGAGATTGGGAGATGGGGGTGTCACATTGATGAAGCTCATAATCCATAAAAGTATTTTGACGCATTGCAAACTAGTGGCTCGATTGTGGCAATAAAAATGGGAGAAAATAGAGGAAACAAGTTTTCATTGTATGTCTCAGGAGAAGCTTACATAGAATCTATTCAAATAGTCACTGTCCACCCTATCCACACTATAATAAATGATAAAGTAATTAAAAAAGTAAGGCTTCGCTCCAAACCTTGATGAAAGAGGTAATTTTGGTGTCGATAATCTTTATGATGATTTTATAATATATTTTTACCCCTAATTATACAATTTAGAGTTTCAAAAATAATGTAGATTTTTAACCACTTAAAAATCTTGAAAATAAATAGTAAGATAATATATTATAAAATACATTACTTGAAAGGAGTTGAATTTATTTTATTTTATTTATACAACTCAAAGTCGAGATAAATTTTCTAATATCGAAACAACTGTTTTTTTTATGAGTTTTTAAAGTGCACATTACTTTTAGAAGCTAATTTAAAAGACTTAACAATTAAACCAATTGAAGAAAAGATAATGCACTTATCTCGAAGAATAAGAATCGAAAGAATTATCGATACCAAGTCAAATACCAACATAAATGAAAAGCAAGAGACATTATACTCCTGCATGAGTAAATCGGGTAAGATAAATTTTAGAGAAAATTACATATAGATTCATTATAGTTTCCGTTATTACGATTAAACTAAATAGTTTCCGTTATTACATCAATGTCCGTTTTTTCATCTCAAAACATATTTTTTTAAAAAAAACGACCTTACCCTTTTTTGGTTGTTGAATAACTGAATTCAAGGGTTTTTTGGTTATTTAACAACCGAATTCAAGGATGTTTTGATTGTTCAACAACCGGAAAAGAGATTAGCTCGTTTAAACTTCCCGCTATAGTTGTACTGAAATATATTTGAATTCGGTTTTTCAACACCCGAAAATTGTATTTTCGATTGTTGAACTACCGAATTTACAATTTTCGGTTGTTCAATAACCGAAATATTGCGAAGCTCGTTTAAAATTCCTGGATCAGTTTCTTTTGCTTCACTAGTCCAGGTATTTCTCATTCCCCCATTTCTGACTGCCTCTTACCTTTCTGACAATCAAAACAACATATTTAGATTTGGATACAAGTATTTTGACGGATCATAACTGCATTTGAAGCATTTTGAAGGCATTTGATGGATTTATAATTTAGAGTGAAGGTATGTATAATCGAATTTCTTGTTCGATTTTTAGAAGTTAACATTGTATAAGATTGTGATTTAAGGTTTCATACTTGAGTAGAAGCGATTGATTTAGGGTTTATGTAACAATCTTAAACTTTAAAAAAAAAAGAAGAAAATAAACTTTTAATACATGATGATTCGTTTGAACATGATGGTGTTTAGGGACCATCGCTACTTTTCAAAGCTTTTCGTTTAAAAGCTTTGTGTTTCCTTGCTCTTGCCACGTACGTGGGCTTTAGGTGTTTAAAGCATAAACTAACGCTCACACCTGTAACGTAATAAAAGCTTGAGGTGTTTAAAGCGTAAACTAACGCTCACACCTGTAACATAATAAAAGCTTGAGGTGTTTAAAGCGTAAACTAACGCTCACACCTGTAACGTAATAAAAGAATAAAATAATATGTTAGTAGAATTTAAATTCAGAGAGGTGAAGACTCCTATCTTAGAAAATTTTGAGATTTTTTCTTTGGTCGAAACACAGTGAACTCCTCTCTCGAGCCGAATTTTTATCGGAAGCTCCCTCTCAAATATTTGTGAGTAAGTGACATCGTCTTCCTGAAAAATAGTCTATTTTTAATAAATAGTGATATTTCCGTCTAGGATCTTTATTTTATCAGTTTTATGTGTAAGTGACCTCATTGTCTCGAAAAATAATCCATTCTTTTTAAAAATAAAATGAAATAATTATTTCTGCTTATTATCATGAATTTTAGGTACGATAAATTTTATGCGCACACGACCTCATTATCTTGAAAAATAATCTTTTTAATAAAAATTGTGATATTTTATCTATGTTAGAAATTTTAAATGCTGTAAATTCTTAGAAAAATAAATTTATTTACTTTTCTTGGCTATTGTTAGAAAATTTTAGATACTATCAAATTATTAAAAATAAATATGATATTTCTGCTTTTAGTAAAATTGTGATATTTCTTTCTACTGTTTTGAATATTTAGACATTGTAAAATTCATGTGCAAATGACTGTCTTATTATTTAAAAATTGACATTTTTGCAATTGATTATAGGATTGTTGTGAAATGTTTATTTGTGGATTGATATCCCATAAATTGTAATAATTTCGTATTCTTGAATTTCTATAAGAGTTTTTCTATACATATTAAATTGGCAATTATGCTAGAATGCCTTTACAAACTGCTACCTTTCTAAATTTGAGCCCAAAATATTTGATTGGTTATTTTTGAAATGTTATAGAGAGGGACTGTTATTAATAGTTTAAGTGAAATTCATATTAATGATTTCAGTGATATGTTGAGTACATGATATTGCTGCTTTCGAATGTTTAAAGAGATTTAGAAATAATTTATGTATGCAAGTGGACTCATCCGGTTCGCCGGTGAGGTATAAGTGGACCTATCTGGGACGCCGGTAGGGATTAAGTGGACTCATCCGGTACGCCGGTGAGGTATAAGTGGACCTACAGGGATTAAGTGGATCTATCTGGGACGTCGACAGGGATTAAGTGGACCCATCAGGACGCTGATGGGGTATATAGGTGACCTACTTGGGACGCCAGTAGGGTATTTTGTGAAATTCTTTGAATTATGCACTGCTGTTAAAAGTGTTATAAGCATTTCAATTACTTGGATTATACTTAATTATGCAATTATTGAAAGTGAAACTGTTGATGCATTTCTGTTAATAGATCTCATTTTGGAAAATATTGATATCTTTCAATCATGATTATTTTTAGGATTATGATGATCACTTACTGAGTAGCCAAACTCATCAAACTATGATAAACATTTTTCAGGATAGCTGCAGTTTCATTTGAGTGCTCGTCAGGATCAACTTTGGGAAGATATTGAAGTTGTGCTTAAACTTTCTTTTATTACTTTTTAAAAATTCGCCATTGTAAATTTGTCCTAAAAAGAGATGTATATATATGTTTTGACTGCCACATCTTAGGAACATCAGTATTGTAAATTCTTGGGGTGTGACAGTTTATTTGATGGATTTTACAGATTCTTTAATGACACATTGTTTGAGTGATAGTTGGGATTTTTAAGAAATGCAATTATTTGGGGTTTGTAATAACTGTAAATTTGGGGTTATTTTTAGTTCTTGAAGGTTATACATGAGTTATTGAGTTATGTTTCTTTTTTATTAATTGTTTAAAAATTTCTAAATTTGGGGTTACTGAGAACTACAAATTTGGGGGTTTTATTAGAACTCGAAATGAATTAACCGACAATTTGAAATCAATAGCTTAAGATAGCTAAATGTGTCGTTGGATGTTGCCTTTATATTTGAAACTGTATAACTTATGCTTTATTGGGTTTGCAATTTGAAATGATTAGTTTATAACTAAAAATTTTGGGGTTTATATATAGTTGAATGGGTTTGTATTTTGTGACTGTATATAAATGAATCCGTATGGAATTTGAAATCTATAGCTTTATATAGGACCCTATGTTATTGGATGTTGCAGTTGTCTTTGAAAATGTATGAGTTATGCTATGTTGGACTTGGAATTTGAAAATGAGTAGCTTAATACAGATTGTTAGATGTTACTCTATGTTGTTGAATGTTGTTGTCTATATTTTGTTGTAATTAACATTTGGGTTATAATAAATGCAAAAAACAATCGTTGTCTTTAATTTTTTTCCCTTTGAACCAATATCTTAGTTGTCAGAAACGGTGCCTCAGTTGTTGATTTTTTTGATTTCTCATAGCTATATCGGCTTATAATGAATGGGTGTGGGTTTTGTAAGTTGAAATTTCTTATAGCATATATTTTGAATAGGTACATAGATGGTACAAAGATGAATACGTACATAGTTGGTATAGAACATTGTTTTGGTTATCATATAAGAACAAAAATTTTGCATTCATTATTTCATGCCCATTCCATTGTTAGTGATATATGATTTACTGATATATGGATTGGATATGAGTTGCAATGTGTTAGTAACTCCATTTATAATTTGGCTTGCTATTTACCTTGAACATTTTGTAAATGCTTGTAGGTTTAGGAGTATATAGGTAATAAATAAGTTTATGCATACTATATGTAAATATGAGTCGTATTTGATATGTAAATTTATTATCATATTCTTTTGTTAGAGTAGTATTCTATATACAAATGCATGATGCAATTTTAAAATACATGATGAGTTATTTTTGTCTCAATTTCAGTGAATATGAGTCGTGTCCATTCAGAGGGGGATACCCAGGAGGTCATCAGAACCCTAGTTTGCTACAGCTTCACCCAAAACATTCATCATATTTCATATGGGAATGACATGTATAGGCATATATTCATATGCTCTTTTCATTAGTTTGTTATTTTTCAATAAATTGTAGTTTGTTTCAACATCATATGGGAAATACATGTGTATATTTATTGTGACTCATATGTTTTCTCTTTGTTGTACTCCATGAAAAACATGAAATTAGAATCGATGAGAAGACTTTTCAATTAAACGATTGATATATAACCAATGAGCAAGTTCAATTAGTGAACACGTCTGGGTTGGGTGCTCTATCTATCATCCTCCCAAGTCGAATTGATCATGCTTTGGTCGCAGCCAATGCAGAGAGGTGGTGTTCTGAGACAAATTCATTCCATTACAACATTTAAATTGGTGGAGATGACACCAACTTTATTTGATGTGTACGAGATTTTAGGACTGGCTGTGGAAGATGAGCCTGTTCTATGTCGTCCTCTTAGTGACCTCCGGGAGTTCATAGAAAACAATTTGGGTATAATCACCACTGGAGGCAACCTGACAACCATTAAGCATTCATGGTTGAAGGAAAATTTCAGGGAATTGCCACCTTATGCAACCCCTGTGGAAGTACTTAGATATACTTGAGCCTATCTGCTCTTCCTCATCAGCGTTACCATTTTCGCTGCTGCGTCAGTTGCAACAGTGCCAACGAGATACTTACAAGTCTTTGAAGATATTGAGGAAGCTGGGAGATATGCTTGGGGTGCTGCAGCCCTCGCATTTCTTTATTGATCCTTTGGAAAAGCTTGTACATTCAAGCAAAGAAATTTTAGTTGTTCTGCCCCTATTATGCAAGCAAAGTTAATTTTTGTATAGACATAAGCATAATAGTTTAGATTACTCAGAAATAATATTTATTACTTATCATGTCTTGATGTAATGCAGTGTTGGTCTTATGAGCATATTATGCATATGAGGCTCATACTGCATAATATCTCTCCAAATATGCCTTGGACAAAAAAATGGGATCCATCAAAGAACTATTATGGCAATCCACATAACTTGATGCCTCCCATTTGACCAGAATTAGATAACCTCCAACCTAATGAGGTTAGTGTGTACTTTGATATTAATTACTTTCAATTGTATTAAAGTAGTTGTAGTTTTTATTGTTGACTAATTGCCGTATGTGTGATTGCATATAATATAACATGCAATATAGAATCTCTATTTCAAGCATGATGAGGACATTTCAGAAGATAGGCATCAGGCATTCGAAACTGCAATGTGCATAACGATGCTTATCTTTGACAATATTGCCCAGCCGTACATACCAGATCGTGTTTGCCGGTAATTTGGAGCTAAGCAAGGCATTCCAAGAAATCCCACTTCTGTTAGTAAGAGGTAAAGCAAATTGGGTAGCAAGATTGGCGAAATGTCAATTCAGACAAAATCCATAATTGGTTCTTGCCATGATCACATGATAGCAGACATTAAAGTCGATACTACCAATGGGTTGCCCTCAGAGGAGTACAAGGTCTGCTACAGCCGAGTGTCCCATCCTATAATACATAATGTCTCTAATCCACCAAAAGACATATTGCAACCTCAAGACCAGGAAGAAGAAGAGGTGGTTCCTGCACATGAACCACAATATATAATGAGACCTCGAGGATATAAAGATCAGTTTGTATGTTTATATTAACCTAAAAATTGTTTTCGTTTTATACTTGCCTATCAGTTGGTATGTTTATATTAACCTACAAATTGTTTTTGCAGGTTAGTGCAGTTCAGGCCAGTACAACCATGTTAGCAGAGGCACTTACACTTAGACAGAAGTGGTATCCTAAAGTTTATAATCGCGTTAACAATAAGTTTGAAATGCTGTCTAAGTTTGTGCCTGTCGACATGGTTGATATAGAAGCTAGGCTGAAAACATGACAATGTCAAGTTAATGACGAAACTGTACAAGAAGAGGGCGGACGAGATGTAGTGGGTGAAAGTAGTCGGCCTATAAAAGACTTGGCTCCATTCACACAACCTACAGTTGAAGAGCCCAAAAGACATAAGATGCGAAAGAAGCAGTATCAGCCGAAGAGAAGGCGGCCAGCATAAATATCTTATTTGGCAATGCAATGGTCATCGAATACATTTGTAATGTATCGAATACATTTGTAATGTTATGAAAGGATAATGTATTGGTCATTGAATACATTTGGTAATCCATTTTGGACTGCTTCATGGTTCCTTGCGATCAGATTCATAAGTAATTGAATGAGTTTGCACCATCATTGCTAAATATACTTCAAAGTTCCATTCCAAGGTGACCTTCATACTTGCGCTGAAATTAATTTATGTAATTCATTATTTGGGTGCCCCAACTACAGCCAAGACATTGATAGGTTTTGACATTTTAGCATTCTACATATGTTGCATGAACCATCTAAAACAACAAATTTACAGCCAAACTGAATGTGACGAAGACAACATTCAGAAGCCCATGAGCAGCATAAGCCTTATGCACATGGTTGGTAATGACCAACCCAATTAACGTATTGAATGCAACCAATAAGTGCATGGTGTAGTAACCACAAGAAGAATAAAAAAATTTAAATTGGATGTAACTCAAAAGACACAAAATGAGCCCAATTACGATTCAATCATGTATGATTAAAAAAAAAAATCTTAGAAAGCCTTTTGCTTGACCACAAATGAAATCATAACAATTTTGGTTGTTCAACAACCGAAAATCTCACTATTTTGATTGTACAACAACCGAAATAGTCTTTGCGAACAATAGAAGGTCCCTGGATGTTCGCAAAGACCATTTCAGTTGTTCAACAACCAAAATAGTCTCTACGAATAACAGAAGCTCCTTGGATGTTTGCAGAGAATATTTCTGTTGTTCAACAACCGAAATTGTCACCATTTCGGTTGTTCAACAATCGAAATGGTCTCTGCCCTGGATTTTCGCATAGACTATTTCAATTGTTGAACAACCAAAATGGTGACATTTTCGGTTGTTGAACAAACGAAATTGGCAGAATTTCAGTTGTTCAAAAACCGAAATCACAATTTCGGTTGTTGAATAACCGAAATCACAATTTCGGTTGTTCAACAACTGAATTGTTGACTACAAATATTCTAGAAGGTCCCTGGATTTTTGCAGTCAACAATTCGGTTGTTGAACAACCAAAATTTGAAGAATTTTGGTTGTTAAACAATCGAAATAACTATTTCAGTTGTTAAACAATCGAAATTGTAATTTCCTTCAATGTACCAAAATTGTACATTGAAGAAATTACGTTATGGTTACCATTAAAGCTTGATTTCTTCTTCCATTGCTTGTTATAAATCTTATATTACAGTAGTTTTTCATTGAATCATACTTTTGTTTCAATGCTCTTTTATGTTCTGATGGAACTTTATACACCACACCTTGAGTATGTGTAGTTTTGCTTGAAACTACATTACCTTGTCATTGATTTCCATAGTTTTTTATTTCCTAAATTTCCAGAGAGCTCTAATGAGTTTTAAACTTCATATTAGTCAGATTTCCTTCATATTAAAGGTCGAATAATATCTTGTGTTTCCATGCTCTACAATGTGTAATGCAGATTGAATCTTCTACGTCTACATCTCGATTTCTATAGAATGTTTTGAGCATATTACTAAGTTTTATACATCATATTCAGATCAACACCTAAATCACGCAATTCACACTAACAGCAAGTACAAAACAAGATTAACAACACCTAAATCACTCATTTCATTATTCATCAAATTGTTAATTCCATATAAAAACACAAGATTGACAACAAATAATTCACTCTATTGGTTCTTTGTATGTCCTCCTATTATGACCTACTGCGCCGCATCATTTGGACTTCATAGGCTTAGTGATAGGCTGTTCAGTCTCAGATCTTTTTCGTTGCTTTTTTTATTTACAGGGAAGGCATGTCGTCCTTGGTGGCAATGCTGTTCAGTTGAACATACCTATCAACTCAATATCATTCGGGTCAAGCCCAAAGAGAGTTTGAAAGGCCCTTTTAAATGCTTTCATTGCGAAATACTGAAGGCAGAACGCAGTGGGATCCAAATGCATATGATTAATAGCTGCAATCCCATGAGTATACGGTATGTCACTGAGTTACCATTTTCTACAACTTCATGTTCAATGAGTTAAATCAACAACGTACTTCTTCCCAAGATAGTGGATCTCAAGCTGTGTATCCATGTCGGATATAACTGTGTGCAAAAATCTAGCCTTCATCTTTCGCAAGTCCAGTAATTCTTGGGCTTTTGGTACTAGCAGGCCGCTCCAATTATTACCTGACTCTCTCTTCTCTTCAAACCTGGTCATCAACTGTACCTTTATTTTTTCATACATTGTAATGATCTACTTCTCTTTAGCCGATATTATCCAAGCGTTGAATGACTCGGCTACGTTAGAGGTAAGATGATTGTGTCTTGTCCTTGGAAAATAGGCATTTGCCCAATATTTGGGAAGAATGTTCTTAATCCACTCATATGCTTCTGGGTCAACACACTGTATGCCAAACATAATTTTTTCAAACCCACTAATGGTCGCTTTACGGGCAGCCTTCCAAAACAACATCAGTAATACTTCGGTGTTTGTTGACTTCTTCATGAAGCCCTTGAAGTTCTCTCCCATATGTCGCATGCAGAATGCTGAAAAACACCTGGGAAAGCATTTTCTATTGCTTCTGGTAGGCTTTTCTGTCGATCTGTTATAATTGTTAAGACAGACAGATTAGAAAACTCATTTAATAGCTCACTCAGTATACTTAAGAACCAATACCAACTCTGGTAGTTCTCCTTCTCGACCACTGCAAATGCCAATGGAAAGAGCCCATTATTTGCATCTATAGAAATGACGCACAATAACATGCCTTGATACTTTCCTTTTAAGAATGTCCCATCGATACCAATTAGTGGTTTGCATCCATTAACCAAACCCATGATGCATGGGCGATAAGCAATGAATACTCATTTGAACCTGCTTTCATCTATATCGATGCGAACTTCGATTCTTGGGTTGGTTATTCGGAGCTTCTCCACATACAAGGGAAGGTCATGGTATTGTTGTTCATGTGAACCATCTATCATCTCTTTAGCAACATCTTTTCCCCGCCAAGTTTGCATGTAAGAAAGCCTGACACCGTGATCGCGTTGGACATCCTTTACAATGTCTTTAGCTTTAAGTTTTGGTTGGTCACTAAGGCGGGCTTTAATTTTCTTTGCCACCCAATCACTACGAGCTAGTGGCTGATGGACCATCCCCATTGGAGCACTACATGTGTGCTCCTTAACCATGGATTTCACTTTGAAGTATTTTGTATTGCTAACTTGTGAGCACTGCACTTGCCATGTGCATCCCTCTGCCGTAAAACTTGCCCACACCCATCCCAATTCACTTTTGTCAAACTTCAGAACAAAATTATTGTGGATTGCAAAATTAACAAGATGATGCCAGCATTGACACTTTCAAAATATTGCCTTATATTCAATTAAACCTCGTTACCAACTCCTCTACATGGGCTATCTAGTGGTTCAATATCCTCCATATCACGCTCTGGTACAAGCTCAGGGTCAGGCGCCACTTGAATGTTTTGATCTTGATCAGGTAAAGTCTCACGCCGACTGTTGACAAAAGATACAGTGTAAGATGAAGCAACAATTTCTATACATAAAAGAATAAAATAAACCAAATTACAGATGAAAAAGTAAATTGTAAATATACCTATTTCTTGAAGATGGACCATCACCAATAGATTCCCGTTTTGGCTCCATTATAGAGGCAATATATACAACAATTTTCGAAGATTCCCCTCTCAACATAAAAGATATATCTACATCATCACTTACATCAATCAAATCAAACCCACTAGAAAGACTTGTGTTGTGGTACATAATAGCTAATTTGTTTGGATCACACATTGTTAAATTACCTAAATGACTTTTTAGTTCCTCTAAAGAACTATTTCTATTGTATTTCGTAACCTTCAATTTTCCCCCTTTGTAAAAGATACGACCGTCTTCTGCATTCATCTCAAATGACCCCCCATATCGGAATACCAGTTGCACTCCCTCAATAACTATCGTCAATGCTACTGTATTAAATGAATAGTAAAATTTGTGTTACAATAAATTGATACAATAAAGAATACAAGAAATTTGGATATTTCTAACTACTTTAGGGTTCATAAAATGTGAGTATTACATAACAAATTGAAGTACTGTTAATAACGAAAATATCAAAAATAAGTTGACAAAAATAACAAATACTCAATAAACAACAAAAATAACAATTACTCAAACAAATACCAAATAAACAACAAATATTAACACAAACCAACAAGTTGAACAATTTTAGCCAAAGCAATAAATACAATGTATCAACATAATGCAAACAATAAATTTTTATACAAAGAACAAATAACTATACAAAAAAACAACTTCAACAATATTTTAACAAATATTATTTATTAATCAACAATACACAAAATTTACAAATATAAAATATAATATTCTATTAATTGTGACAAAATTAACAAAAAATAAGCAACAACATAAAGCAAGAGTAAGAACTGTACCAATCACGACCGTGAGCCAATCGTACAGGATACTGTATTGGGGGAAAGTAAAAAAGGTATGATCCACGTATGATACTGTATTGGATTTGTTTTCCCCCAACTTTATATATAAAAAAATTTCTTATTCTAAAACGCAGGGAATATTGGCAAGAAAATTTTCGGTTAATCAAAAATGGAAATCCACAAAATTTCGGTTGTTGAAAAATCAAAATCAAATTTTTGGTTTTTAAACAATCGAAAACCCTAATTTCGGTTGTCGAACAACCGAAACTATAGCGGGAGAGCAACTCCTATTTTCGGGTGTTGCAAAACTGAAAATCTACGGTTTCGGTTGTTCAACAATCGAAATTAGATTTTTGGTTTTTCAACACCCGAAAGCTCTTATTTCGGTTGTTGAACAACCGAAACCAGAACGGGAGGTTAAACAAGCTATTCCAGTTTTCGGTTGTTGAACAATTGATATTTTTTTTTAATTCAATTGTTCAACACCTAAAAAAGGGTAAAGTCATCTTTTTTTAAAAAAATCGTTATGAAAGGGAAAAAACGGACATCCTGATAATAACGGAAA